AGTACCTATTTCTTGTGTTCGTTGGCATTCTTCCAGGCCTATAAATGTCCTGTGCGGCGAAAACCATAGATGCAGCTTCCTTATAAAGTGAAATAGCAAACAGATAGAGAAATAAAGTTTTAAATTAAGTAACTAGTCATCGGTTGTAAACATTTATCGTACATCATAAATGTAGATCATAAAGTTCATTGCCAAAGTCAATTAACAGTGACCGTGTTAATTTAATATAGACCATGTCATCGTACTACTACTCTTTATCTAATTTAATGATGGGAAAAAAATACGGGTACTCGCGAGTGTGGGTCACGGGTCCATCGGGATTACAGATGGAAATGAAAAACAAATGGGCAACTCAGGCAGAAAGCAGTATTTACTACTTAAATTACGTCAATAACTCTTAAAATCTACCGAAACAAGTTTTGTAAGTGCAATATTTACCTTAGCAAAGTAAGAACTTGTTGAACAATAGTGGTAAGACCACACAGGGAGCTTTATAATAACGAATCTGAGACTTGAATGGGCCTTAATCGGATTTTATTTGTAGTCGGGTAAATGTTATGACAAGATCCTAAATGGTTACAACTGCATTTGATTTAGAATTAGAATGAAACGGAAATGATATCACTGTAATGATAAATATGGATACGTCGAAATACGCAATTCCATTCACGTAATTTCGTTTCCATTCTCCTAAAAAGTTTAAATAGCGATAATGGTTCAAAACATCTGCTGGTTCGTTTTTAGGAAATGTATGCAAACCTAAATAATTTTATTTGATACCGGTTAATTTAATGGTATCGATACACCTGGCTACATTGCTGAAATACTACATCGGTTAAATCTGGCGATCCGTTTCGTTTTTTAAGGCATTATTGCAGAAGAGTCTTCAAAAAAAAGATAAAATTTCTACCTGTGGGGCATTCGCTATCTTATAAGAATACCTCTAATCTTAAATCACTTAGGACGAAACTTTACAGCAATTAGACATTATAGGGCTATTTTTAATTAATCCTTAATATCATGGTAGTTGGGAATTTTGAAATCCAACAATAGTTTGTCCATTACGTGTTTCCATTTTCATGAAATTGCAGTGTTACTGAATACAGTACCTATATATCAATAGATAATGAAATTAATTCTAAGTTGGAGTTAATTCATTATGCGAATGTGTCCAAGTGTTTATGTAAAGCTCGGTAAGGATCCCGCTAGCTAGCCATTTAGTTAGCTCGATTCCATCATACGATTTGAGTTTAGAATTACGATATGTTTGCCGCCTGCCTATGACTGACTATGAAGTAACTGTGGAACAATAATTTAGTAATAGAATATGGTAATCCGATCTGAGAGCAAATCTTAAGTAGCGGAATACGGATGCTATTGGGTGATATCGTATTAAGTTTACAAGAAGGATCATATAGAAGCTGATAAACTTGCAAACGAAAGTACCTACCGATCGACAGAAATTCAATTAAACTAATGTCATTTGTTTTCAAGAACATCGATTTCATCTGTAGAGTTTAAAGACTTCTTTTATCAATATTTTTCCGATATATTCTATAAAATGATGAATAAATATGTTATTATGCTAAATAATGTACCTACTGTAATAAGGTTAACACTTTGATGAGGAAGGAAATTCTACTTAGGTATTGCGAAACTACAAAATTAACGATGATCAGGCAAACGTACCCATATTTTAAAAATAAATTGGCGAGTAAGTAGATACATAGATCGGTGTATGACATGTACTTACATTATGTCTAATTTCCTGTACACATAAGACATTATTTATTATCTTCCTGGTGTTTCTGTTGTACCTATTATATTTTTATATTGTACATAATAAATAACTTACAATTTTAATAATCGACACACATGTACCTACTTAATTCATTAAAGCAATCTTTATTAGGTACAAAAGAAAAATAGGTACTAATAATAAATATTGCTATCGCAAACGGACTATTCCATAAAGTTGGCCAGGCCGAGGGGTGAAGACTGAAGAGATTAATAAACGACCGAGATACCTAAAGCAAAGAGTCTGTGAAACTTATGGGGGTAGGTCATGTACTTATCTCTGGTTGCAGTTTCACTTCTTATACCAGATTTTAATAACAAAGTAATAAATACGAGTAGCACAGTAAAGTAAACAGCAACTCAATGGACCATTATCAAAGTAATTAATCACCCGCTATAATATTATTGTTTTTACATACCTACCTTGCGGAAACAATTGGGGCGTACAGGAGCCGGTATTCCGATTTAGTAAACACACTGATTTAGCACTGCACTAAAATAACACACAATTTTCACTTTATAATTTTTACGGGTCGGTTTGTGTCAGCAAATGACAGCTGGGTCGTATTTTTTTGCCGCGGGGTTGTCAGATGTGTCCTTGAAGGACGCTGTGGGAGCGCGCCATGTTGATTTGAGGACGGGCGCGTGGCGACTGCGCGCAGCCGCCCCTTGCGTGGCGCATGCGCTGTGCGTCACCCTATGTCCCGCCATCCCGCCCGCACCCGGCCGGCCATTCTTCCTTGTTCCCAAATCCTACGTTGTCCTTGCCTTGCGTGTTTTATAACTATACAACTTATAGATTGTTATTTGTATGATGGAGCTTTATAGGTAGGTACTACTTTTTCTGATTTTTGTTAGTACTCACAGGATTTGCTTTTGCTGTTATTATTTACGTAATACTTATGTTATAAACACTTGGGTACTTACTTATTTTACTCATTATGAAATGATTTTATTTTTGTACCGAAGTGTCGCAAAATTTTGTTAGGTACCTTATGATCACAGACTTTACCTACCTACATACCTAGCTTCCTACCTACCTAGCTTCCTACCTACCTACCTATTTACAAAATGTAGTGACTACCTGCCTACAATTTTGTTTCGAAGGCAGTAGAATAAACGGCTGTAGTTGCATTGTTGTCTGTCGGCTCGCCTGGGGGCGTACAAACGTGTCACGGGAAGCGAATGATGCATTCGGGAGATCACCCACCAATCGCCCACAGACTCGCCTACGCGAAACCAACAAGTAAATAAAGAAGAAGCCTTGCAAACAACTTGAGGAACAGAAACATCAATTATTTAAAACCTAAGAAAGTTCTGTACTTACAAATTCGTGTAGGAAGGTATATTGAGAGGATCTTTGTGAGACTAAAGTCCAGCCTTGGATGGGGTGAAAGAGAGTATCAGACTCTTGCTGCTACGACCGCACCTCTGCCAGACTAGAGTCCACTTGGAAAACTAATCAGGTATCAGGGCTGTCTTAAACTACGCTAGGGCCCTTGGGCACACAATACTTAATTCGGGGCCCTTTTAGAATATTTTTGCTTTTTTTAACCTAGACCCGAAATAACAATTTGTGGAGCACACAAAGATTTGCTCCGTACGGGAATCAAATTCGCTACTAGTAGGTAAGGTGTAACGGGTGCGGGTCCGGTCGCCGTAAAATTGTTAGTTCTTCGGGGCCCCCTGAGGATGGGGGTGCTGGGCACGAGCCCCGATTGCCCTTATGGGAAAAACGGTACTATCTATATACACTCTTCAGTTCTCAGTTTTTCCTTAATCCATAGAGTAAACCTTCTGCATTTTTTATTTGGTGGCTAAGCGCTAACAATCTGTGGAGCCTTAGTTTATTACCAAAAATATACAAAATTATGCTTTAACTCTGGTGCATACGAGTTATATCAACTGCATTAATAACGTTGCATATTTATCAGCTACACGTTTACTGATTTTAATGCGAGTGTTTCTTGGATGTTGCCGAGATGTAACTACATGATTGTGTGAAAATTTAAACGTTGCTTCGTCAGTCGGCTTCGTTGTAATCAGACTCCTTGACTATGATTTGAAGATGACATGCGTAGCAACTCTTCACTTCTATTTGCTGTTAAGAATATACAGACTTGCAGAGTAAGAGGTCTCTACCTCTAGTTTGATTACTGGGACCAACCAAAAATACAGCTACTCACTAAACTCATAATCACTCTTACAGTTTTTTATATCTAACTGTTTCCTGACAAGTGGCTCAGGACCAGGACTCAGGGCTCCGTCAAATGTCTGACGCACCGACTTCGGCGATGTAGCGGCACCATTGACCGGAAAGACAGACTTTTCTCCAGGAATCCACCTCATATAACATGCGTTACTAATCTAAGGATATGACTAAGCGTGACAAATATTATGAATGAGGTCAGTACGAGTAGGTACCTACCTATTACCCAAAATTCTAAAACAGTCATGCAAGTAGGTATTGTTGGTAAGTACGTACCTAGTAAACAATCAACACACGTCGCGTCACCATATGTCTCGTAGATACGAGACACAACTGAGACGCGTTGCAAACGCGATGCTTTTGTATTTTTAATTAGTAGGTGATATTTCAGCAACGATGTCAGAAGAAAACCACGTGAAACAAGAGATAAACTGTACCTACTGCAGAAATTGTAGGTTTAATTTGCCACTACAGCCTGCAGCCACTGTGCCAGTTATGTTCTATAGTAACTGCATGCACGCAATTATGACTTCAACTTCACCTGGTCAGGTGGCGTCGCGTCGTGTAGTACCTACCACCGAATGTAAAGTTGTGGTTCACTTTTATGCTACCTATGCTTCTATTCTGAACGTCACCGTAGTTAGTACCTACCTGTGGCAGTACCACCAAATATGATAACTGCATGCAGTTGAATAATTATATTGACAATGCGAGGTTACTATAATGCAGTCCGTCTTATGGTAAGTAACTGTAGAGTTATTTATTTACGCTTGCGTTCGAAAACGTGACCACCGTTTCCATTCATTAATTCATACCGATTTAAAATTTTTCAGTAACTAAAAAGTATATTGCCATTAAAATTTTTTTTTAACTTGACAACTCAAACTTCAAATGTCAGTTGGACAATCCAACCAACTCAACAAACAGCTGTTTCGTGATTTGTTACCCGGCGATTTATTTAATTCCTTGATTCCTAGTAAATAAAAGTAATATAATGCCCGAAGATTCGAAAAAAAGCAAGTTCGTATAGTTTCAGTGTGTTAATAAAGTATTTGAAACAAAAACTTAATTTATCTTCTATGTTTTAGTGAGAAAATTAAAGAACGCAGAGAACGGAAACCTAGACACAGGAATCAGAAAAAAGAAACTGAAAATGTAGTTGAGAAGAAAACTGAGGAACCGAAAAATGTGCCAAAAGGTAAATTATAATATGTTGTAAACATAACCATTCTTTTTCATGATGATCAGATATTAGGTAGTTTGCAATGCTGGCAATAACAGGCTATCTTTTGTGTAATATCTAATAGGTATCTCACCGGTATGGCATAGGTAATTGACTATCGTCAAAGTTTGGATACGGAATTGAATATGTAATTACATACTTGAAGATTATAAATATTATTTATAATTCTTATTTAATTGTTTTTTTTGGTAAAGTAGTTAGGTATATTTGTCTATTTTAATACATCTACACTCAACATGTACATGTTATACTGCAAATAAAATCAGAAACTAATCTGTAATAAAGCTTCATTTCTTTAGACATAGGTTTTGTTACAGAGTTTTATTTTTATAAATTAATTGAATAAGATCTATTTAATGGTTGATGTGTAGTCCCTCTTGGGTAAAAGCTTCCTCTAGTGCGATCCATACTTATGATACTCTTTGCAAACTACTCTGTAAAAAGGCTTCACAGCCAAAGTATTAGTATAAAAGTTAAAAGTCCAAACATAATACAAAATACCTAATAAAAAATACAATAATATTAACTATAACAGTTACAGTACCACAGAAGCCAGTCTATGAGCCTCCTCCACCGGAGTTTTACAAAAACTTGAAACGAGAAACCGATGATATACTAAAAATAACTGAAGAAGAGAATTCAAAATATAAAAAGAAGGAGATACAAAGCAACTGGGCCAAGTATGAGGTGCCAATTGATAGCTATGAGGAGATTGAGGAGCAAGAGAACTTGGGCGCTGATTATGAGGTAATTTGTTTACATTTATTTTTATGTTATGAGGTAACAGATAAACATGACCTGCAATTTTTGGAGCTTCTTGTATAGATAAATTACTAATTAGTTTGTTAATGTAACTTAATTTTTTAGTTTTCACTTAGCGCCTGCCTAAAATGATTGAGCAAAATGTTGCTTATGGCAGTAAATCAGTGATTACATCAATGTACCTATCCAGATAGAATCAACCTTTTTCCTGTAGGTAACTTAATTCTTTACCCTTTTTATCATTTCAGAAACTCATACAAGCGCCTCTTTCAATCGGCGGACATTTTCAATTCAAACATGAAAAGTCTTGGGACATAAACACTGGCCCTTCATTATACGATAAATACTTTGATATTAACATGGAAGACCTGAATATTGCTCTCTGTTCCATACCTTTTTACGAGAGAAACTCTATAGACACTTCTAATTTTAGTGAAACAGATATTCTGACTATGAATAACAGAGCAACGAGGTTCAAACAGAAATATTACAATGACAAATCATACTCAACGCCAGAAACTGAAGCTCAAGAAAAAATACTTAGTAATCTTATGGAAAGTCTTAAAGAGGATAATACTAAGGGAGACACAAGCAACGATATAGACATAAAGTATGATAATGCACGTAAAACTAGACTGGAGTCCGAGAAATCGGATAGTTATGTAGAATTGCAAACTGAAAATAATACTGAAATAGCAAATGCCGTTGAAGAAAATTTGAAAACACAGGAACCTGTGAGTGATGACACTCCGGTTAACAAAATCGAAGTAAAGGAAGATAAACTGGATGATTTTATCTTTAGGGACACTAACAAAAATGTAACAGAACCCAAAGTCGATAATGTTACGACGGCAAATTCTGTAGAAAAACCTGTGTGCAATATTGAAACTGTTGAAAGTACTCCTGTAGTTGAAGAAGTACTGCCTACTGTTGCCGCAAAGACAACACCTATTGTACCTAAAGGAAATCCTGTGGCAATTACTACTCCGGAAGGTAAGATCAATCGTTTTAATTAAATTGTGAATTAAATTGTTGGCCGAGTGTTCGCAAGTGCGACTGTCAGGCAGGGGGTCTCAGGTTCGATGCCTGGGTCGCCGTATTATTGGGGTTTTTAAAAATTCTCAGTAGTAGCACGGAGTCTGGAATTGTGCCCGGTATGGCAATAGGCTCACCCTCACCCCCTATTACATGGGACTCACAACATAAACAGTAAAAAGTGGGTGTTACATTATACAGTAGCATAATGTGCACCTCTGCTTATCCTTACGGGGATAAAAGGCGTGATTTTTTTTATGTTTTTTTAAACTTTGCCCCACACTAGGATTTCCTCCTGTGTCATGGGTGCGTTTACAAACATACAAGTTCACATACACAATGACACCCAGACCCGAAACAACAATTTGTGGATCACACAAAGTGTTGTTCCGTGCGGGAATCGAACCCGCGACACGTTGCACGGCAGCCGGTTGACCAGCCACCGCACCAAACGTGCAGTCAAATGTCGTGATGTGTTTATTGGGAATAAAATATAAATAATTATGCAATTAAAACAAAATAAATATGTTAAAAACATTTATTTATCATTCCAGTGACAATCAAACCTGAAGAAACAAAGAAAAATCCTGTAATTGAATCTCCAGAAGATCTTGAGAAGTGGCTAGATGACTTTTTAGATGGTTAGATATCACAGTAACCATCTTGGTAAACCATACAATTACTTATGTTGTCTATTGTAATAGTCTTAAATAAATTAGTAATACGTATCTTGTAATACTAAATTATTCCGATTATTATGTAAAAATCGAAAATCGATTAATGATCAATCTATGGGAAATGGAAAAGCTCTAAATAATATTTACCATCAATCAACGTTTTTTTTCCCGATACCGAGCATATTGCTGCCATAATTCGGGCAGAATTTATGAAATGAAATTTATACATTCTAATGGGTTTTCTTTTGTTTACGGTTTCCAAAAAGTACTTACGGAGTCCCAAAAAAAAATCTTCGTCCCATACTCGGTGGATAGGTACTTATTTATTTTTTCCTGAACATAATGATGCGTCCACATCTCATGAATGTGCCGCTAGTGAGGACTTCACGAGTTGTGGACGCACCATTAGACTGGATGGATTCTTCCTGTTTTATATGTATTTTTGGGCATAATTTGATACCTAATCGATAAATATCTAAAAAATCAGTTGTTATTTCTAATATTTTTTGTTATTATTTTGAAAAAAGATGTATGGTATGTATTAAGAAATAAAATATACAAGATTACGCTTCGAAGTGTGTATTTCTTGTGTCTTCTGTTACAGTTGAGGAATAACATTTTGTAATAAACAAATAAAAACATTTTGTAACTTTTATTCTTTGAGACATTTTATAAACACCTATAAAATTGCACAGACGTATTGTTTTATCTTTTACTTTAATATCTAATACCTATTTGTTTAATAATCTAATGACAATGGAACATAACATCCATAATATAAGCCTGACAAAGTACTTAAGTGCTATGAATAGTTATATGAACTTTGTAAAAGATTTTTTGGTGTTTGATGTCATGAACATCTATAACTAGAAACACTACTTGCCGAAAGTAAGTCGGAGTCAAACAACCCAACATTAGGTAATTCGTAATGTTAAAAGCGTTATAACCAAAATTACCTTTGTAGTACGGAGTATAGATACAAGTCGGTGTGTATAAAAATGTACTTTATCTTTAAGTAGGTGGCGCCACAGTAACAAAAGGGTGTTTTCTCGATTTCCCCTTACACATATTTTACCATTTAAGTATTTGTTACATGTATGGCCATCTATTCAGAAAAGGTAATTAAAGAAAAATTAACGCTAATATAAGTTTACTACACAAATAAGTACCCGTATAGACGGTGCTATATCTCTATAGTCAACGAACTCTAGGTATTCTATTTTAATGAACATTTAATAACAATGGAATAAGTACAAAAGTAACAGGTAGTCAATAGGAATGAAATTACAGTGAAGTCATAATTAAAAATCCAATCCAATATGATCACATTTTCATTACAATCGGTTCGCTATAATAAGCTTAGGTACAAGATTGAATCATATTGGATACACACATACAATTTTTGCTTTCACTTCACTAGGTAATCTAGCACAAATATCTTCAATTTCAATCTTCTTATTTTTCTTTCGCGTTGAGATGTCGGCTCGTCAGGACCAGTAGGTATGCAGGGCTCATCGAAGACGAAGAAGTTCCATTTCCATACAACTTTTTTTCACATTTGCAGTGACTCCGTAAAGTATCCGTAAAACAGCAGTTATTTGGCCATCAACTTGAGTAAACATATAAAATTTACCAGTGTTGCTCTGGCATAAAAATGCAGAGTTTAGTTTTTATCAAAACCTTTTACAAAACAACACCATCTTATTCTAAACAACAAAACTTTACAATTTTATCGACATAATATGTACAGTACTTAAAATCTAATTCAGCAAAACAGACACCACAATTAAAGAACTATTAAACTCCGTTTTAACAAAATTTGTGCTAAAACTGTATCACAATCAAAAAATAAAAACAAAAAACGGAAACATAGGTACAACCAAAAGAATTACTCATGAGGACATTATGTTTATTTGTAACTTAAATAATATTTTCGCAACATTACGTTCATTAGTTTTTGCTTGAAATACCTATGCTATGTAATTTTATAACAGATATGCAGCTCATTTACAGATTATTTTAATAACGATAGTTATTGTAATTATGGTGATACTGCTGTTGGCCACCACCGCCTCTGCCGTCATAGTCATAGTTGGGGTTTCTTCTACCATATTGATTCGGATGCATCGGCTGCGGTACAGGCGAGGTTTGCTGCAAGGTCTTCGCGCGAGCTGCCAGCTGAGATACCAACTGCGCGGGAGTCAGATGAGCTATAGAGATGGATGCTCCATCGGAGATGCTGCCGGTTGGGTTAAAAACAGATTTCGAATTAACCAAATCCTGTTCTACAACTTGAGTATGAACTGAAGAACTAAAATATTCAGGTTCTGTGGAAGTACTGGCTTCTTGGAAACTTGTAGATTCACGAATTTCACACACATCACAAAACGGTTTTGTCGTCTGGACGGCCGCATCCTTCATGTCTTTGGGGAGTTTCTTTTTATATCTGGATACCACCTTATCCAATCCAATTGTAGTGATGATGCTCTCCACAAGCTGCTTGTTTTGCTGCGCCAGAACAGGTCCGTTGGTTTTCGTGAAGTTGAACTCTATGGTGGCTTGTCTCTTCAGCGGCGAACAAAACTTTGATTCCAAGGCCTTGGGTTCTGATTTGACAATATGGTTGTTCATCATCAAGTGGTTGGGCAGGAGCAATTTTTCTAACTTGACTAAAGCTTGATTGCACCGAGACATAACTGTAAACACAAAAGCAGCACCATTTTCATCCAATTACACTGTTAACCAAGAAAATACGTTAAAAAAATTTCGTAAATTATTTTTAACCATTTTATTGCCGACGCCAGTTTTAGTAACAGTCAACTCTTCAGTTTAATTATTCCTGACTCCTGACAATGACTACAAATCTAGATAAACTTAGCATAATCATTACAATACTAATAATTATTCAGTTAGTGTAATTGTTTCTTTAACTCATTTAGTTATTGTGTAGCCTCATGCAAAGGCATGAAATATTAGATTAGTGCTGTTTAATACCCACCTCCACTTAAAGTTTTTGAATCCATTACACTGCTTGCACCTGCAATAATAAATTTTACATGGGTTTTATTATATTAAGAACTAGATATTTACAACATAAATTTATTCATTTCTTTTTCCACTCCTATTAGTTACCTTTATTAGGAGCAAGCTTAAGATAATCTTCTTGAGAAATCTTCCCTTCTGCAACTAACTGAAAAATTAAAACTTTAACAAATTGTCATTTACACGAAAATTAAACAACCAATTCAAATAGAAAGATTATTACTTGTGCCAACGCATCATATGGTGTTTTCTGCTCTATAACTGGGAGGGCAGGAGCTGGTACCATGGCCGGTGCTGCGGCTACATTCAAAGCTGTTGGAATTGGGTTTATAGAGGGCATTGGTACTGGCTCCGGCATTCCACTAGGTGCACCAGGCGCCAAGTTATAGTTATATGGAGCAGGAAAACCACCACCATATGCTACTCCTTGTGGGTATGTATATCCTGGTACATTTCCAGGAAATTCATTTTGCACAGGAGCAGTATACAGCTGTGCTGGTTCAGTACTATAAGGTTCTACAGGATATGCTGACATTCCTGGTTCATTTGGATATAGGAAAGTATCTTTTTGATGTGGGGAACGTGATCTTGAATGTCCCCTCTTAGACTCATAATGGCGCCTTGTAGGAGATCTGGATGGTCGACGACGTCGAGGGCTGTGCTCACGGGACCGATGTGGACTGTATCGACGATGTGGACTGCGTCGTGGTGGGCTGCGTCGTGGTGGGCTGCGTCGTTGTGGGCTGCGTCGTGGTGGACTGTACCGTTTTCTGTAGACTTTGTGTGGACTGAACCGAGGTCGGTACTGGTGTATGTGAGATGGATGTGGTTGATAATGTGGACGTGGACTCCATCTAGGACTATATCTTCTACGAGGGCTGTAGCGGCGGGGACTTGCGCGGCGTGGACTTTGGCGACGTGGGCTGCGATAGTGAGGTGATTCCCGAACATGCCGTTCCTGCACAGGTTTGAGTGGCTCATCCAGGGTTTCCTCTATTACGCGTTTTGGAGTTTTTTTAGCTTCTTTAGATTTGTCTTCGTCAAAATAATCATCAAGTTCAGTGCCTGGAGGTCGAAGATCATCAGTAGACTCCAAGTGCTTCGCAAGGTATTCTTTAACTTTAACTTCCTTATCTTTTTTGATGGCTTCATTAGTCTTGCTAGGATCACGTCTGCTACCAGGTTTGATGAAATCATTCATACGAGAGCTGCTCGAAGATCTCTGCTGCGGAGACTCTTGTTTGCGCCACTTGAACCTATCATCAAACTTTACGAACGACTTAGACGGTTTCTCTGGCTCCTCCTTGTTAAGTTCTCCTCCAATTAGTTCACGAAGGTCCTTCACGTTGTCGATAGCCTCCATGTTGATACGACGCGACTCTCGCCGCTTGCCGGCACCATCTTCTTCATCCCAGCTATCTATAACACTTAACCCTTCCATAAAATCATCTCTGTTAAAATCATCAAAGAAATCACTTGGTATATCTTCACTTTCGCCCGGATCCGACATTCGATCTTTTTCACTCCCCATGATGAACTCGAAAAACAACAAATAATTTTATTTGAAAAAATATAAAATATTCCAACAAAATAACATGAAATACTAATCTAACACTAAAAACACGATCCTATTATTTACACTGTCGGAAACACAAGTAAATCAAGACTTTCAGACAGAATTATGATGTTAACAAATTCAGATTAGTTACAAAACTCTAATCCGCCCATGACATCCGTGACTCCATGTTTATTTTCATATTTTCCCGTCTGTCATGGTTTGTCTGTAATACAGTGTCGTGTATTGTCTATGATGGACCCGAACTTTTGTCTTTTTAGTTTGTAGTTATTTATTTAGGGTTCATTTAAGACTGCAACTAATGGCAACAAAGGTTACGTGCACTTCAATCATATATAGAACAACGTAGAATTCACAGGTCCTTCACAAGTACTAACCTAAGAAAGAAACAACTCATAAAATAATTATTTGCTAAGGTCATGTTTTTACATCATTGGTTTTAATCTAAAACATTTAAAAAAAATATGACACACCGTCACACAAGTGAGTGTCACAGTGACTGTCATAGTGCGGGAAAATAAACAAGCGGCATTCTGGCTTACTTACAGTCACAGAGCATGTAATTATAAGAGGCGGAACTTAGTACATTCAATTTTTTGAGAGTTCGTAACGGCGCTTAGCCAACCACACATGTGACACAATGCTACCAACATTAGCAATGACAGTGACAACCATGACCTTGAAAAGAGTAACTGTCACGAATAAGGATGGGCAACGTATCGATATTCAGATTTCATCGATATTCAGATTTCATCGATATCGATAAAATATTAAGCATGCTTTTATATAGGATTCCTGCACAAAAGTATATATTTTGAAAATTAGGAAAATAAACACTATTTTATATAATTTTACTTATTCATTTATTTACTTAATACATTCACCATATATTACAGATTAGATACAGAAGTTGTTTCTTACAATGCCACTTTTCTGACAATCGACCTTTACATTTAAATCATTTACGCTGAAATATTCAAACGCTGGCTGATCATGCATTGCTTGCATTGGTCTTTACGTTGCAAGGTATTTTTAAGGGGGGGGCGGGGAATCATTTAATGACTTCGGCCGCCTGGATGAGGCGGATCAGACTTTTACTGGCTAAAAACCACCCCGTTCCTACTCCTGTACTTCGAGCCGAAAATATCATGGTTGTTAAAGATACTGGATTCCATATATTAACAACAATCTGTGACCTCCTGTTTTTAGGACCCTTCCTACAAACATGGGGACCCTGAAACTATTAAAATCATTATCACTTCCTCCAATTAACGCAAATGACAACTATTTTACTTACTCAAATGGAAAAAATTACATTGTTTATGATATACCTCATTTATTTAAATCGATTAGAAATTATTTCCTCAAATATGGGGAAATGTATATGTCTGGAATGAAGGCTAAATGGGAGCATTTGTTACAAGCAGAGGAAAAAATAGAAACCTCTTATACCTCAGCAAAATCACTAAAGTGCACGTGGAGCCAAAATATAGGGATCACAGATCGCTGTTAATATATTGAATCCAGTATCTTCAACAACCATGATAATTTCTTTTATAATTGAGGCTAGTTTTTGGTAGGAAACTGTCCCTTAACAAAATAAAAAGCTATTGGCTGCTTAAACTTTGCTCGTATACCTTGCAACATAAATACCAATGCATGGTCAGCCAGTTGAGAACCACGTTCTACTTCCGGGCCATAGTCTTCATAACCCTCAACCTTGTCTTTACTACTATTAAAAAAGAGACGCCGTTTTAGAGCAATCTCGTCAAATATGTAAAGTAAATAGACCACAGTACTTGTCTTTTTTATCCATAATTTACAGATTTTTTTTAAATGTTTTGTAACAGATTTGTTTACACCAGTGGAGACTGATATTTTTTAAAAACATTATGCAACGTTTTTACACTTGGTAGTGACATTAGCTGCTGCAGATATCGAAAGGCTTTTGGTGACCTCTTAAATATAGCTAAGGCTCATATTTTAGACTGCCTCATTGGCCGAGTGGTCGCAAGTGCGACTGCCGGGCAAGGGGTCTCGGGTTCGATTCCCGGGTCGAGCAAAGTATTACTGGGTTTTTTAAAAATCTCAGTAGTAGCACGGAGTCTGGAAATGTGCCCGGTATATGGCAATAGGCTCACCCCCTATTACATGGGACTCATAACATAAATAGTGAAAAGTGGGTGTTACTTCTATGTGCACCTCTGCCTACCCCTTCGGGGATAAAAGGCGTGATGTTATGTATGTGTTATGCTCATATTTTATTTTTTGATGTCCAACGGCGACCGTTGGCCTTTCTTTTTTGATTTGCCAACGCCTACAGAACTATTTCTTTTAAGACGCCTGACTCCAATTTATCTAAAAGATTAGCGCTACGTCTAAGTGCTGTCAGGCTGCATTTTGTTTTTTCAGGCGCTCCATCAATTGCTTCTCCCTTAGCGTTAAATCTGTAAATAAAAATAAAATATTTTACAAAAGCCTTGCAAGCATTTCTCTGCACACATAACACAATTTAAAATAGCAATAGAACACAAAAATTATTAAAACCATATCGAGGATCGTTTTCAATCTTTCTATTTGTTAATAATATTCTAACATTAAATAAGTTTAATGGATGTTCCTATATGTAAAAGCCAACTTAGAAAACTAGTTTTAGTTCTGTAACAAATCGGCTACAATGGTTTTAATACATCTTAAGTTTCACCCCCAACCCTTTTACGTGATTCCGTGTGTGCCTCAACGTGGCTTTGACAGCTACTGGAAGATAGAAGTGCTGATGGCTACTAGGGGCCATCGTAGTGTTGTTGTTCTTATGCAAAGAGGATGCTGCTGCCCATTCTCTGATATATTATCTTACTAGCTGTGCTTGCGACTTCGTCAGCGTGGAATAGTGATTCAAAGCTACTCCACGTAGGGATAGCGTGTAATATGTCTATGTTGACCCGACCTTTTAGTAATATTCATGCAAAGTATGAAATAAATCCAAGTAGTACTTTTGAGTTTAACCCGGACATATATACAGACAAAAATTCCAAAACTCATATTTTTGGCTTCGGTATCGATTGTAGATCACACTACAAGTATTCTTTTAAAAAAAATTCAATGTACAAATACTTTTCTACGTTTTTATTATATGTATAGATAACCTTACACAACCTTATACCCACGCTACTGAAGATATGTAATTGTGTTATTTTCTATGCATTATAAATAATGATAAAGTACTTACTAGGCATTTTCTCAGGCAGATTTTCAACAGTAGAAAGGGTATGTATTTCTTCTGAAAAATAAATATAAAAAGAAATAAGTAAAGTCATAAAACCGGCCTCCCTCGTTGGTTGAGTGGTCGCAAATGCGACTGCTGAGCAAGGAGTTTCGGATTCAATTCCCGGGTCAGGCAAAGTATTACTGGGTTTAAAACAATTCTCAGTAGTAGCATGGAGTCTGGAATTGTGCACGGTATATGGCAATAGACTCACCCCCTATTACATGCGACTCATAACATAAATAGTGGAAAGTGGGTGCTACGTTACAATGTATAGTGCCATTAATTACTGTAATGTACACCTCCGCCCACAACTTCGGGGATAAAAGGCGTGATGTTATGTTATGTCATAAAAAGTTGTTCCTATGTCATGAATTACCGCAGCACTGGCAGTCAATGCAATCGAATGATAGGAAGAAATACTCAAAACATCTTCACTGACCTTGAGACAGCTCCACAGAGATCTGACTTAATTGCTTACTCGTGGATGGCACTGCTTCAGGCAAAATATCTGAAATGATACATTATGATTTAAAACTAGTCTGATAGCCGCTAGATATGAGAGCTGATGACTTAAAAATGGTAATGGTCCAAATAAAGATTTTTTTTTCATTATTGCACGGTTGGTGCGGCGGTTGGGAAACCGGCTACAACCGGCAACATGTAGCGGGTTCTATTACCGCACATAATGATTATTCTGTGATTCACAAATACTTGTTTCGGGTCAGGGTCTCATGTGTTTGTGAAATTATATGTTAGTAATAAGCTGATAAAAATATCATCAGCCTGTAGCAGACCATACCATTGCTACTCATGGACCTCTCGAATAGCATGCTATTTTTCAGATCCGTTCACAACACCTTTCATCTATCCTATTTTTTAATATTCAGAATAAGACTGAAGTAAGAAACAAGGGAATTTAATATTAAACAAAAGCTTTTGCAGGCAGGTAGGTAAAAATTTATTAACGAAAATATACCAGAATAAAAATAATTTTATGCCGTTAACTCGTCATGCCTGGTCTACTCTTGCAACCGAATATCTGTTTAATCAAGAACGGATTAACTGACATCCAAAATTACATTACTATCAAACTATCATCACTAGCCAGAAGTGCTCAATGCTGAACGAATATTTATTCTCACGCGGAGACTGTATGAACTACGGATTCACTACGGGCTTGCTCAAGGCAGTTTGGTGATTTCAAACTTATAGTTTGAGATATTAAGTCCAGGATTTATCACGTTTCCTACCTTCACCACCTCGACAACACATCCATAGAATGTCACATACATACTTATCAATAGGATTTAGTAGCATAACATACCTTTTTGATTCAGTTCCATAAGGATTCAAGTTCTTGATTGTTGGCTCGTGGATGGCACTGGCTGTACTTGAGGAAGAACATCTGTAAGATAAATTATTGTTTGAAATTAAAAGACGGATTAACTGATATTTTAAATTACGCACTATCAAACTATAAACTTTCACATCATCATTACTAGGCAGAAATAGTCACTGCTGAACAAATACTTATTTTCACAAGGAGACAGTATAAGCTTCAATCTGTACGCTTGCGCAAGACAGATTGGAGATTTCAAACTCATAGTTTGAAATAATAAATCCAGGTTTACTCAGGACGTTTTAGGAGAAGCTTAAATAAACTTGAAAAGTATATAATATTTATACT